TGAGATTTTTCTCCTTTTTCCGAGAAAGAATAGGTCTAAGATCTATCTCCCATAAGATTACACATGTGGCTGAAAGACAGCAAGATTGAGAGAAGAAGAAGAAGAAGAAGAAGAAGAAGAAGAAGAAGAAATCAAGAGCTCACGTAGGGGGGGGGGGGGGGCAAAGAGAGGGTGGGGGCAGAAAGTGGAGGCGAAAGCAGGTGACAGACCATTGTTAGAATACAAGAAAGGAGGTGAAAAGAGAAAATTTTTTAGCAGAAACTTTTCCGTCGCTGTCCGGATTTTAACCCAGGATCTATTGAATGAGAGGAGAATACCGTTTTAAACTTCTCAACCACACAGTAAGGCCTACTTGATACACAATAAGGTCGTGTAAGTGCCGAAGATGAGAGTTGTTACGAGAGAGTGACCAACACAAAAAAAAGAAGAGGTAAGGACGATAAAGGTTTGACAGGAGTAAACCACACCACAGCACCCACATATTATTTTAATGCGACGGGACAGAAAGTCAAGAATTTCTGCGAGGAGTCATTTTATTATTTCTCAAAAAAATAATTGTCAAGACAAAAAATATAACACTAGCGAAAGAAGAAATTCATACATGGGAAAGAATTTAGATACAATAATAAATTATTGTCACAGTCCAGTCATAACACAACTGCCAAAGTTATTTTTTGCTGTCAAGAAAGAAGATGACCCCCCCCCCCCCCCCCCCAACACAAAAAAAATAGTGCTCACATAAGTCAACCTTATGACTTGAGCTAAAAAGTGAAAGTATCTCAATAATATAAGATTTTCATCACACGCGAAACTCAACCTTGCAATGCTGAAGATATACAAAACAAGTATCAGGCCTTTCTACCGTACCTACAACCAGAAATCTGAGAGAGAAAAAAAGGCTTGGACAGTTGTGTAATGAATGCGACTGACTTACTTGACAAAGTAAAAATCCAGAAATGTACGATACACAATTGATAATCTTAGAAGAAGACGCACTTTTAAAAAAATTTAGTAATCAAAAAGTTACTGAGAAGACAAAGACAGGGAGGTTGATAAAACAGTCTGTGGAATTTTGCAACAATTTCTGAAAGTTCTGAAATACTTTTAAATACGTAGTCCACACTGTTCATTTTTTTTTTTTTTTAATTCTTGGAGTAGTAAGAGTTGGGAATAGAAATGAGGGAAGGCAAGGGGGGAATCATATCGATACCATTTCTAGTTCTTGTTCATAGGAAAGCCAAAAGAGGATTTTTCGACCAAGTGCATTTCGACATTTTCTCAAGCAATCCACTTAAGTCCGTTTGGGTACTTTTTACACCAGAGGCTAAGAATCTAGTTTTTGTTGCATTGTTCCTATCAGGAATCATGAAAAAGCAAGAAAATTGTAAGCCTTGACCATAGTATTAAATTAAAATTGAACTGCATTTTGGTGAAGTTGGAAGGTGCATCTTTGATTACTTTGATAGAATTTTGGGAAGACGTAAAAAATCAAAAATTCTCAAAATTTGGACTTGAGTGAATAGCTTGCGACAGCGACGATATCTTTTTCGCAGCACCACGACAAAATGAGTCACTTGTTTCACTCTGCTGTTCCGAGTTTCAAGAAATTCTCAGAGTTTTTCTCCCAAATATGTGTACTGTGGATCCAAAGCAGCGAGACTGGATGAGACTCGTACTATTTTCACCTCAGTTTATACCCACAGTATGATGATACTGTTAGAACGTGACAATGCGACTCATTTTGTCGGGTTGCTAGAAATTTGGTGAAAAAAGTGGAAGCAGCAAAAACCACACCAGAAGCCTTCACCCAACCACCTGCATTTCCGAGGAATGTGTGTGCGTGTGCATACTAATTCATCATTTGTCTACAAACACTTTTTTAATATTTTGAAATTTTACAACACGAACCAACGAAGAAGAAGGTTCTAAAATATTCGGAAGCCCCAAGGGCAGGTATGTATCACAACAACAAAACTGTTCCACACAAACTCACTTTGTACACATAATG